TGAATACATCCTGTGCTTCACATACATACATCCTGCTTTATCTTTTTGTTTTGCCGGCTGATTATTTTGCCCGTTGTAGTGGGGACTGTAGGGTGTACATAAAGCCGATTATCATTCATGCGACAAGCAGATGAGCCCAAACCATAGATTCTTTTTGCCAGTGCGCGTAGTGCGTACGTTAATATTAAATTTGACCGTTAAGTCGGAACTTCTGCATCTGACCTGTTTTTATGAGTCTGAGTGCGACGCTGTTTGTATTGTGCGGCGTGCGGCCTAACAATTCCGACACATGCCAAGTTGACGTTTAGTCAGTTCTATAGAATATGCACTCCATCAAGTAGGATAGGGTCCTCGCGGGAAGCATTACGTAAAATAAATTCGAGTAAAAGTTTCTATCATTAGTCCGGTTCAAGATAGACCGAAAATTTAGTAAATCCTGTCAATTGTGAGAATTCTGCAAAAGCTGAGTAACGCACGAGATAAGATAAGCGCTCATAACTGGTCCATATCACGATGATGTGTCTTTTGCACGTTTGTATCCACGCCCAAATATTCATAAATCTTGCTTTAGAAAAAGCTACTCGAGAGTAGCATATTCGAGCGTCAAAGTCGCCAATCTGGATATTTCTCATACAAGCTCATATGCACACGTTTTAATGCTTACATTTCACTGCGATATACCGTAACCGTACACTTCAATAATTATCCTTTAATAAGTAATGCTAACGCCTATAGGGTATCATCGACACTGCTACGTGCACAATCTTAATAACTAATTAATAACATTATAATTAGTGTTAATTGCTCATCCAAAAACATTCTGGTAGCGTAAACCAGAAAGTGCGCGTAGGGCGCATAAGTCTCAACTTATAAGTTACCACGACGTGTTAAAATGTCTAATTAAAATAATTAATTAATTACGGGTTCATTAGAATTAAAAAGTTTGCGGATAAATGGCGTACAGAGTATTGATCAATTCGCTGACCGGCTGGCGTTTATTAACTTGCAACTGGTAGCGTTAATTAACTGTTTTAAATTTAATCGTTAATTACAGTATCTTTTTTAATTAATTTGAAGCACTGAATTCGGTAGGCAATATATAGAGTCTTATAGACAGCAGTAAGGTGCAAACTGCAAAGTAAAGTTACAGACTAGAATGAAAGCTCACCGTAAAGCAAAATCTCGCATGTTTTTGCCCTCCCAAAATTGCCCGCTCGATGCAGATATGTGATGCATCATTGCCGTGCGGTTATTTGATGTTTGTTAAGGTTCAAAGTTCGATTTTTTTAAGCGTGTGTCATAGATTTCCTTCGCTGAAATCTTCATGACTGAATTTTTTGAGCCTAACTATTCTGTTCTCAATATTCCACTACTATGCCAATTTGCGTAAGTAATAAATAACAAGCAGCTTAATTGATGCTTGAACCTCTGTTAGTCTATTATTGACATTTGACAGCTTTTCAGTTTTCACCTTAAAGGTTTCAAGAAGTTTAAACACACTCCACTTCTGTATGTGGTTTAAATTTTGTACGATACTGGTAAGTGGTAACTGGACATTTTTACAAGTCGGTTGGTATTACATGTACATTATTAGCGTGAAATGTACTACGTAGGAGTACATTTCACGCTGATAATGTAGAAGTGATACAAGTAATGGCGCCGCTAATTATTGGTGTTTACATTAGTAATTATCGGCGCTATTGTGTATGCATGATTTTAAGAAAGCTGTGGTGTTGGATGATTTTGTTCCCAGCGTTGCATAACAATACTTCAGGCGGCATCCATAAAGTCCGTGACGCGAATTGGCAGGAGCAGGAGCGTCTGACAATTCTATTTGCCTTATCTCGATATTACAAAAAACGTATCGCAGGGGAAGGAGGGGGTGAAATTGGCAAATGTTGGCGTTATTTAGGGATGCCGCCTAGGCCTAACTGATTCCAAAACATGAAATACTGTACTTGGAGTATTTATTGAGTTATTCGTAATCATTTTTGCATCCAGTGCATAGAGATGTTGTGATTAGGAACCATCCGCTAGTCATGTTATTACTGTACTACATTTTTGTTGCAAAGCATTCGTACTTCCTTAATTTATTAACAAGAAATTGGTGCAAAATAGCAATTTCAGATAATCTTCGCATGCTAAGTTGTGCAACAAGTGCACAGATAATAACAGCAAAGCGTTTCAGCTTCGAGTGTTCTATCATGGTTCTGTGCTTCTACATAAGATTATAGTTTAAGAGCTCTGCTATATGAGTAAGAACAAGAACACGCAGTCCGCATATGGCAAATTACTTTGAAGCAATAAAACTTAAATTTTTGCTGCTACGTCATTCACTGTGTTACCGGTAGACATCCTGTACTATTGAACTGCAGTTCAACTTACAAAGGCATTTCAACTTACAAGTACAGCTGTACTTGTAAGTTGAAATGCCTTGTACTATACTTGTAATGCCCTGAACGCTTTAGGCCTGGTTGTTTAGGATATTTTTAGTACTGTACTGTACCCCATTTATTGCCGGTTAAAGAACCAAGTTCAACCGCAATTCGCAAATAACATTCCAACGGTGCACCTTCAGTAAGTGCCACCATTGTATTCTAAACTTGTCTGGTAATTCTTTTTTATTACGGTAATTTGCGCAAACGGCAAGATGCAAAGTGACCTTTTGAAATCTTGTATGCCGGTGCTTGTTTAAGCACTTCGTTCATGGCCAGTGCTGTTTCTTTACAAATAAACTGCCTGTACTCAGGGCACTGGCAAAACTGCAGAACTCTACAGTTGACCAAGCGCTCCGACGTTCGCCCGCTTATTAAATGTGCCACATTTTATGTGGCATCTGCCAGGTTTTATCGTTTGCCAGTTGCCAGAGCCTCCAGGTTTTATCGCTCGCCATGCCATTGGCAGTGCCACTGGCAGGTGCCAACGCCACGTTTTACCCCCTGCCATTATTTCTTCATTTTCCAGCCACTGTCACAGTGATTCGAATGCGAAACCGATCCAACCAAACAGAAAAAATTAGGCAGACCCCATCATTGATATCGACATGGCTACTAACACTAGAGCCGGTAAGTCCACGTTTATAAATCAGATGCTTGCAACGGAAGTAGATCGCCTCGATTTTAAGGAAGAACTGGATCGAAGAATCTTAACGCACGGCTTCGAAAGCCGCGGAACAAAGACACTGTTGGCAGCAGTCACGTCGAAATACAAAAGCCGCCAAACAACGGACGAATCGATAAGAAAAAACGACGGCTGATCTGGAAACTACGCCACGCTGGCTACCCTCGGAAGGATATCGCGGAACGCGTGGGTATCGGTTTGATTCAACTGAAAAATTTCCTCGCTAGGAAAAATTCTTCCCTACAAAAGAAGCGGAGTGATGACGAGAAGAAGGAAATCCTGCAGCAAGCAGATGAAGCAAAATATAATATTGCCCAAATTGCAAGGCAGTTCAATAATATGTGTAGGTCGACCGTGAAACGAATGCAACGCTTGGCCGAACTGACCGAAGAGCAAAGGAAAACTATCCTCGATTTGTTCCATCGCGGCTTCTCAAGATCGCAGATCGTGTGCGACGTTAACGTGACAGCTGATACCGTAGCTGCTGTAATTCAAAATGACAAACAGAGAAGCTATCGGGAACGATGCCGACAAAAATACCAGGAGCAGAGAACTGCTGTCCTGAAACTGCAGGCAGAGGGAATTTCAGGGAATATCATAAGGCAGCAGCTCAAAATAAACTGGGCCAGACTAAAACAATTGCTGGAAACGCCCAGTCAAGAACCGACCACATCGAGTGCAGGTCCGCTGATCAACGCACCCACTGTCGACCATCCCGCTTTGGAATCCGATGATGTCGTAGCAGAGGAAGTGGTTCAGACGCCGTCAGCCTGTAAGAACCGCCTCGGCGATACAATACCAAGATGTCGAAGGTCGGCTAGATTGAAGAACATAAGATATGGTGATGTCGAGGGAGAGAAAGTCGTTCAGTCACCGCCAGCTAGTGAGGACAGCCACAATAATACAGAACAAAGAAGTCGAAGGTCGATTAGATTGAAGGGCATTCAACATGGTGATGCAGGCAAAAAACACAAACCAGTCTGTTATTTTGGCTGCTACAACAACTCTACGTCAGACCACAACGAAAGAATCACAGCAAATCTGAGTGCACAGATATCTGCCAAAATCATTGAAGACGAAGCTATTAGAAAGGCACCCAAGGACATATCGCAAGCAATAATGAGTTCGGATTTCGAGGGCATTCCAGCTGGTACGTTCCTTGATATACGTAGTTAATACCAAAATACGAAACTGAGCATTGGGCGAATTACTCATGCACAAGCGACAGGCATAGACGCTTGTTCATGAGTAATATCAGTGGTTAAAAATGTTGACATTAACAATTGTCAAAGGCAAACTGTTCAGTTTTTAACTATAAAAAATCCATATTTCTCGGCTGCGCGTAGAATATCGGCTTTGCGTAATATCTGTATTTTGCATCACTTCTTTTCAGATGTTCCTTTACACCGCCATAGCCTGGTATCACCGCTTTATGGTGATAACAGGCTATTCCTATTTCTTCAGAAGTATGATTTTATACGTTTATTCATTACGTCGATACCACAACCATTTTTGGCCTTTAGAGATCATATAATCTTGACGGCTTACGTGATATAATTTCATATAAAGCATATATAACTTTTCCAAACGATGTAATTAACTACGTATATGCGCGCAAATAAAGTACCGTTGGACAAAAATGTGTTGCAACTAGCCAATCGGTAAGCGGTTTAAAAAATTGAGTAATTAATTTATTAAATAAGGCGCTTTCAACAGGTCCATTGCGGTTGAATTCCCAGAGCCGGTTCTGAAATAATAACCGCTCGTTTGCACATAAATTCGTTAAACTGAAGCATCTACTCTTACTTATTGCAATCCTACATTTTGAGTCCATGGAACAATCTTCTATCTCCTCCGATCACGAGGAAAATCTGGTGCAAACCAGTAGCGGTGACTCAGTTGTGTCAAATAGTTGCGAACTGTCGGATCGCTTCCTCTCGTGGCAAATGTTTGATGAAGCCTTTAAAGAGTACCAAAAGAAAACCTTTCAAACGTTTCTTATTCATCGATCGAAGATGCTGGATGGCGGCAATCCAAAATTTTCGGTCCTGCAATATGAGTCCGTTGAATATGTCTGTGTCCGCCACAGGATTCCAATATGCCCGAAAAAAAAATTGCGACGCCGGATTAACTGTAGCGGCAAGGCTGAGCGCTCATCATCTGATTGTTACGAAGAAGAATCTGCGACATAATCATCCTGAAAACCGAGATCCGGAACAAATAATAGCAGTCCGTGAACGTCTAGAATCGCGAGCGCCAGCCGTTGCAACAGCGAATCAAGCACGGACGCGAAGCGGCAAAGCCGTAACTCTAACACAAAAGCCGTTAAAAAACGGACGAACTGAAAACGATAAAAGACGGGAACGCTATCAACAAATTTGCCAGCAGAAGAAAACAATTACTGTTGTTATGGAAATGCATGAGGAGGGACTGTCATGGGTTTGCACTAAGAAAAAACCTAAAACAAGCGAATCAACTCTTGAACAGCCGCAGAAAATGCCCAGCAAGGAAGCAATCTCATCGGATGAATGTGCGCCAAACGACACATGCATGGAGATTGTCGAACCACAACAGCCAGAATCGGATAATGTGGGGGAAGAGAAGGTCGTCCAGCCACCGCCATATAGCCAGGAAGATAGTGAATACACAGTGCATGGATTTCGTGGCTCCGAACTGAAGGCACTGCAACATGGTGATCCAGGCAACAAAAACCGCCAAGGCTGCAGTTTCAGTAATGATCAAACCTCGGTGCGTGACGACACTGAAAGGATCTCAGCGGGTATTCATTTATCTGCCGGTCACATCGAAGAAGTATTATTTCAAAAAGGTTCGAAGAGCACCCCGGAAGCAATGATAAAGTCGGATTACGGAAGAAGCCAAGCTTGTACGTGGGTTAAACGAGCTAATGCTAAAATACCAAATAAACATATATGGCGCAGTCTTTTGTTTACTCTGTAGAAGCACAAAACATGATCTCTGGCATTTTTGCCTGTCAAAAGTTCTGACGATTAGATACTTTTCCGTCAAAAACGCAAACTCGTTAACATTTTGTAAATATTTTCCGGCAGCGAGCTGCACTGTTGGCAAAATGCAAAGACTTACAAAAAATTTATTATCAATTGTTTATTATTTACTGACGAACTGCTGACGGACGATATCATTGACGTACGCTGGCACGCAGTACTTCTTATTTCGCGAATCGTTTGTTTCAATTTGCAGACATAAACAGCCCTGATTTACCCGAGGTTAGCCATCATGGCGAGCCGCAACTGGATCACTTTGATGACTTCTTTGGCGGAGAGTACCTGTGTCCAATATGACCACGACAGTGGACTTTTAGACGGCTCGTGCCCGCAGTCTCCTCACATTCGGCCCACGCAATCTGCTTTTTGATACTGCATGGCCAGATGCATCCACTACTTCCACGTCCGAGCCCTCGAGGCCTACCAAAAGCCACCGCAACCGAGAATCCAAACGAACACGCGCGGCCTCGGTTCCCGCTCCCGGAAATACCGTTGCTAGACATAGTGAACACACCGTACCTACTTCCTCGGTATCTCATAAGGATAATGAATTGCTCACAGAAGACAGCCGTAACGGTGCGAATATATTTTGCAGTTGATTACTTTTTATATTATGTACCAGTTAAAAAGGGGCTCGAGCAGATGCGCTGTACAAAAGTTATTCTCCTGCTTAATTACATATTAGCGTCGTGATTTTGAGACTTTTTCGAGGTCATACTATACTTTTAGTTGCGGGTATCATACGAATTTTTGCCGTCTAGCTAACCGTTTGTTTGTTCATTAACAATGACGGCTGCACCCAATATACATACTACATTGGCTGGTAATCAAATAAACTTCGCGCTGTCCGTAGAATTCTTTATAAAGCGGAAGTAACTCAAGTAATGTTTAGTAAGCAAACTTATTAATAGCGCGGTATATTTTGCACGTATTCTCTGGTAACGTCGGCCTCGAAGAAGAATGACCAGCGCTCTGACAATGTACATATTAGAAGTTTAGAACGAAAAATTTGTAGCAGATTTTAGTATCTTCTTACGTTTGCCTTATGTTTTTGTTACTCTTGTGTTTTCTTAGGTTTTTGTATCTTTTCGTATGTTTTCTCAGTTTTATTACGCAGGTTATGTAATAAACCGAGGTAATATGTACTACATGTTTTCCTTCTGATGTTTCCTAGATTTATTACATAGAGTATGTATGTAATAAACCTGTGTTTTCTTACATAGGTTTTTTAGGGGCGACAAAGAAATTTAAGCAACTTTTTGACAGATTAACCCACAAATGTCAACCTTGTAGCGCTCCGAAAGCAGCAGAGGTGCTGGAAATAAGATGCTCTAATCGTTTTCAGATATAATCTGACAAAAAAATATAGGCTTTCCGGAGGATGTGGTTGTATAAAAATGTACATACATATACTTTACCAGCAAATTATCAGCAAAATTTTGATTGAAGAAGAGCAGCAGAGAAGCAGCTTCGCTGGGGCTGAATTTTGTTCACGAGTAGGTGCAAACGGAAGTGCGGAGTGTGATGTGGCCAAACTTAATGGCGGCCGAAAAAAACCGAGCAGAAGAAAGCGTAATGAAAAACGACAAAAGTAGTGGTTGTTGACGCCGACGCCAGCACTGTCAACGTTAACAGCAGTGCGCCGGAAACATCGTTCTTGCGTACTCTTCTGACTTAGATTTTGTGCTTTTTCTCGCGTTTTCAACTATGTGCGAACTTGCAGTAAAAACCCTGAAAAGCCTGAAAACGGCAATGTGTCGACGGTACTTTAAACTTTCACGGTTACTAAACGGCAAAGGCAATTGAAACGACTTTTTCAAACGGCCGAAGCAGGACGGTAAAGACAATGGCGTGAAATTATTACATTCATGCTAGCCTGAACTCTTGTGGAAATTCCTTTCCCATATAACGCGATTAATATCTCACTGAAAACTTCAAGCTGAAACTTTTTTTGATACGGAGAAAAATCTGGGACTTCCGGTACTTGAAAAAACTTACAACCGCTCGGTGTGACAGTATAAAAGGTTAGCTAATTTGGAACCGTTTCAAAATTGTTACTGTTTTCTTTTATGATTTTCGTTATAAAAAGAAGTTTATCCTGCAATCAAATATTGCAAACTTACGAGTAAATTATAGAAAACTGTATTATGTTACAAATGCGCTAATTAATGCCAAAACAGCCGAGCTGCGTTAATGGGGCGCCGAAGTATCCAACCTACTCTGTACCGATCGTGGAATAGAGGGGCCTGCTATACTTTACATTTTATTCGGTTACCTATCAACTTAGGTATACTGGTGTACAACAGCGACATATAAAGTACGTAAGTTAGTTCTCGTTCAGCTAGCTAAGAGGCAAGATAATACCTGAATAACAGGGCGTGTTGACACCTGAATAAGGATTTGTTTGTCGAACAAGATCTGCATCAGTTACAAACGTAGTCAGTCGGTAGCAGCAAAGTGTTATTATAATTAACAAATTCTACATTTTTGCTTGTTAACGTTTGCGGGCTGTGATCCCTTGGCTGGTAATTACAAGACAAGGGATTCTATTATAACAAAGCTGCTCACGCATGGGCAGAGTAATTGGTTATTTCCCGAGTAAACCGCTGCGTACTCCATTAACTCGGCCGGGTAACTAGCCGTAAGAAAGAGGTCAGCTGTTGACCCGTCTCTGTTGTGAGCCTACTCGGCATGGTGGAGGAAATTTATTCAAATTAGACCGTATGATAGCAGTCTACGGCGCCGTGATTTCGCCCTGCTGCTGCAAAGGGTCGCGCTTACTAACCTCAAATCTCAATAGGATTTTCTTTTGTTTTCTTTTGTTTTGTTAGTCGAAATTCGGATTTTTGGGTATCGTCCGGTAGCAAACCCATTATGGCCTTTATTGCACCTTTTCCGGGGTGGTTGTACAAATATAACTTAATCCGCGTTGGCTAATCTTTTGGAAAGGCTTAATGCTAATTCCAGTGCTAATTCCAGTGCTAATTTTAGTGCTAATTTCAGTGCTAATTTCAGTGCTAATTTTAGTGATACGGCGCTAACTTATCACGTCGGACTTCCTATGGATGAAAAATTAATTAAGCCATTTAAATCTTGAAATTACTTAAATCTTGTTTATCGGCCGTCGTGTTACGACAGGGACTACACATGTGACGTAAATTACTCATTTGCACACGAAGTAAATATTCCTGGTAAGTTTTTACGTCGCAAATGTTGAAATACTTTTTTTAGTTTCATATGTGTGGATCTGCTGTAAATTTTTGGATACTGTTTTATGTCTTATTCACGATTCGCATATAATACACGACAACAAACAAGTTTCTATAATGATACTTGAACTACTTCCGGTGTGGACCTATTTATGGCATCACATGCAGCATGATGCAGGCAAATTACGAGCCTTGTTATCTGAAGGCCGAACCTTCGGTAACAGCATTTGTCTTGGATTTAAATTAGCCCATAAAATCTGGCCGTTAAATGTGAAAACAGTTTATTAAATTATTCGCCTGGTATTTGTAATTTCTTAACCTGTAATCTGTATGCTGTAATTTTTTAACGCATGGACCTACGATCTTGACCCCAACGTCTATGCTGTCGGCACAGCGGCAAGAATATCCTGGGTGTATCCTAGCCAGGACCTAGCTGAGGTTCAGTGCATCCTCAACTGCCTGCTGTAAAGAGGCATCGCACCGTCGCACTGAGACTAAACATTAATTTTTTTACGAATAATATTACTATTGTCCGCTTTTGGCCTTCGGGTATAATTACTATGTGCCTTAAATGCAGTTGTCGCTAAATCCACGTAAATTTGTAAAACGTTTCTAAGGATTTGTGCAAAACTTATCTGTGATCGAATTCACCTTCGGTAGAAAACAAGAGCGTCTATAACCGCCCTCCTACAAGAATTTTAAATGATCGGGTTCGGAAAAAATGGCGGCAGCGAAGAGCCTATTAATTCACAATAACTATAATTTACTGTAACGTGAAAATTTAAACTCGTACACAAAAATCATCTCCAATTAAGTTTTCTGAGAAAATGGAAATCATAATATTCTGTTTCGGTTGCGAATATGGTTTATTTCAGTAATTATTTTTTTAAGTTCGCGCAGCATAACCGGCGAAAGCTGAACCTGGATCCAGTTTTGTAAACAAGACAGAGTTATGCTGCTGTTAGCTTGACGCAGGCGTCCATTAGAAAATACGTTATCAATGCGGTATTATTAAACGTGCTGCGTGCAAAGTAGCGGAACATTTCCAGCCGTAACAGTTATTTCCGTAATATTGTTGTAGTCCCATATTTTCGATTTGCTAATAATGTTTGCATAACAGGACAACCATTTGCAGCGATACTTGTACTGATTGCTAAAGTTGTCAAACAACGAAATGGATGAGGAAAAAGAACGGCTAATTCGCGGGCTATGCAGTCATGGTTACACACGGAAGCAGACAGCGGAACGCGTGGGCGTCAGTTTGTACTGTATGCACTGCAAAACTTTCTTGCTAAGGAAGAATATGCTCGGATAATGATGCTACCCCAAAAACACGAAAACGAGATCATGGAACTGGCGCGCTAACGAGAGTAGAGGCCAGAACAAATCGCCAAGCAGCTCAGCATTAGCGTAACAACCGTGAGACACGCACTACTAATGGCCGGCGTTACAAACGAACAAAGAACAAAAATCATAGAACTGTTCGATCTCGGCTACCCAATGACAGAGATTATTCGCGAGGTTAACGTAGCAGTCGATGCCGCTAACGCTGCACTTGAGTACGCCGGACGAAGTTTTACCGCAGTGGATTACACTGCTATCAGTCCGGAGCGAGAGAAAAACATAATGAACTGCTTCAGATTGGGCTACGGTCTGCGGAATATCCAAAATAAGTATAATCTATCGGAAAGGTTCCTTAGTTTATTATTGCTGAAGAATGGGATAACCCGCCAAGGATGCTCACGACTGTATGACCCTTGCATACAAGCACAGATTGTATTACGCGAAAGGGCCTCACAAAAAGTGAAGCTGGCCGACCAAGAAGCGAACGCGCTGGATGAGCGTCCGCCGAGCAACGCGGACAGTGAAGTGCAACATAGTGACCTTGGCGCTGAGCATAGACTTGCGTTTCATCCTGGTTTTGATCACACGTATGCAAGTAAGCACGAAGAAAGATCCACCGATGGTAATTTTTCTATTTGTCTGATAGTTTCTAACCTACTTAAAAAATGAAAGGTTATTGTAATACGTCAGTTATTTGCGGACATACCGACCGGCACAACATGGTTATTGAACGAATGGTAAATAAAAAGTTACAAAATCGTTGAGATAAAATTTTCTCTTAGTAGGAAAAATCCACCGACGACCAGCAACGTGGACTAAACGGCAGAAAAAATCGATCGAACATCCAGCAAGCCAAAGAAATTACAGTATAGCCCAAATCGCGAAGCAGTACAATGTTAAACAAACGACTGTGAAGCTGTTGCAGCGGATGATCGACCTTACTGACAAACAAAGAATAACCGTATTTCAGCTGTTCTGTCGTGGGTACTCACGAACAAAGATTATGCGCAAGGTTAACATACCAGGTAACGCCGTGGACGCTGTGATTCGTCACGCTGGTTGCCGTTTCGCCGCGCTGGACCATCGTCCCGTTAGTGAGGAAGAGAAAGAAGACATGATGCAATGTAAAGAGGAGCCTGCCCTTTTCTCCATGCTCAGGCCTGTCAGTGTGGAGGAAAATCAGGTGGCTGAGTCATCGCAAGAAAAGAAGGATGACAGCAGTGCCGGCTGCCGCCGGTCGGCTCGCTTAAAGTCCATGCGAAGGAGAGGTCCAGGCAGTTCACGCACGTATTCCTCTCGCTCCGGTTCTGATCATTCTTCCACCAATGGCTACGACCAAAATTTAACAGAAAATGTTAATTTAACTGCAAGTAACACCGAAGGAGGTGCAGCTACAAACGCTTCGATTGCCATCTCGCAGTGCGACTCTGTCATGGACCAGAATTTGGGAATACACCGTTCTGGTAGGTGCACTATCCACCTGTTCTTATATTACTGATAAAATAAATTAATATTGGTGCGGAGGTTTTTGTATGGTAATGCACGTTTTTAAATAAAAACTGCTGACATATAAAAAGGACATTGCTCCGCTTCCGCCGGACCGCCAACACCCCAGCTGTACAGAACTTTAATGGCACATGCGGCGCCGCTTCGGTCACATGATTGAAACCGGCTTATTCATTCTGAAACTCGGTTTTTGCGTTATGTTACTCGCATAAGCAATCTCTGTACGAAAATACAGTACAGATATATCGAATCGATCATGTATGGTGAAAGGAAACGGTACCTAAATTCTATATACTTCAGTGTTCTAAAATTTTGAATAAAGCTTGAATGTTCTAAAACCACTCACTGCCATGTGGATAAATTCGGCTTACTGGTTATTGCAGAACATATTAGTACTTACTAGTACAAACTACATTCCAGTTTTCACTAACATGACTGATTGTACATACGCTGGTATTCGCATTTTACACTTCTCAAATCTTCTGTATGCTGCGCAATTTTCAGTATCAGACAAAATTACTTTGTAGAGGCCAGCAGACATTATGAGCCGGAACGGAATCTCTATGATGATTTCTTTGGTGAAAATTATCGCTTGGCCGATTTGGCTAAGGCAATGGGGCTAACAACGGAGATGGCCCACAGTATCCTTGTGTCCGGCCCAGGACTTCCGCCGTGTGATACTCCCGAACTGAGTCCTGCCACGTCACAGCCAGGCTGGGCGGACAAGCGTCAGCGCTGTCCATATATATGGGATGTTTTGTTTCACAGGTAATATCGCTTTTGTGTTGCTGTAGACTTCATACGGTATTTGTTTCTTGACGCATATTGCTACTGACTCCGGCAGAACTGTAATTTTCGCTAGGCAATCGCACTGTCCACACCGATAGACAATAGACATCAGTATTGCGCTGCGAGGTGGCGTGGGCGCCCTCCCGGAGGAAGAAAACGGGAAAATGGTGCACTCCTAGCCGAAACTGAGCGCAATCCAGGCGCTTGTTGTCGCACCGACGAATTTTATACGAAAACGAAAAGAAGCTGGCGTTTTTGAGCCTTTTTTCTGTGTTTTTTTTGAGAGATTTGGGCATTTTCAAACGATCACGCGCTTTTTCCTGCAGTCAAGGGTGCGACAACACGGACGATATATTTCTGTCGACATCGCACATCACTGCAATTTCGCACAGTTCCTTTCACATAAGACACTGATAGTCACATGGTAGAAACCAAAGCAAACGGCGAAGCCTAACAAACGATCTACATTCATGCAAGCCCATGCATCACCATAGGGTGTCTGCTGCAATTAGTGCTTCGCATAGGACCTCTTGTTTTCCCCTCATACATTAAGGGAAACTTTGCTTTCCCCGCACTTCCGCCGCTTAGTCGTATAGAAGTACCGATAATAATTACAATCAGCGCGTGCGCTGCGCAGCCGTTATCTCTCCGCACTCTTGTGCAGTTGCGCAATTTGATATGCTGAGTTGTTCAGAATTCAGAAACCGGGTTTACACTGTAGCCAGCTTTGAGCGGCTTCATGCAAGCGACTAAGAGGCAGCCGTGCGGGGGAAAACAAGGTTTCGCTTATGTATGAGGGGAAAACTCCCCCTGCGAAGTACAATAATTATTACAGCTTGAATTACTTTGGGTTTTTTCTTTGGTTACGAAAGGTGCCACAGGTGCTACCCGGCGGTACGCTTATACTGTACCGCATTTAGACATTAATAGATTATTATCGCTCGTTAGAAAAGGCCTACGATATACGGTGCGATATACGGTAGGCTCCTAAACGTCACAACGGAGTACCCTTACCGGACCGTCATACGATAAGTGTGACGGTAAGTAATTGTCCTATCGTTATTCTGCTGTGGGCGTACCGTTGCCTTCTGCGAAATAGCAACCGCCACCTGTGGCATGTACTTGGATATCAGTTCCGCTCGATCGAATGAATTTCCAGAATTCTGATTGGTTGTTCGTATCTCTTTATGCTTTTTGCTGATTACGAAACAACACCCAGCAAGAAAAAAGGAAATTAAAAATTAAAGTTTTTTGATTTCTTTAGGAGATTTGTGAGGTTTTTTGAAGTATACTGTAAGTGTAGTCACGTTCTTTTCGTTACTGGAAATGGAGTCTCCGACACCACAAACGTCTGAAGCAGGCGTTGATATTCCTAATGTTCGAAAGCTAAAATGTCGATTTAACGCCACATCTGATCTCGTTCTCCTGGACCTCGTCAAGCATTACAATCCCTACGTCGCGGATAACAAAGGTGCTGCTTGGAAAGATATCGTAAGAGCTCTGGATGACACTAAGGTAAAAATCAAGCTTTGTTACCAACAAGTATGTATTTTTAAAAAACGCAAGTAATTTCCGTGCTTTTGTGATTACTGATCCAGAACTGCATTTCTTAGATTTTTGTGAAACCTGTGACGGAAAGAGCTGCGAAGGATCGGCTAACGAACTTGGTCGCCTGGTTCAAGGCAGAAGATCTGCGAAACAAAAGCCGCAGTGGTACCGAAGAGCAATATGGACGCATGGAAATGCTCCTCACCGAGATATGTGAACTTATAAAGGGATCGGAGGATGCGGAGGCGGAGAAGAAACGCGCAGCAACTCAGGCACAGAAAGAACGCCAAGAAATCTCAAAAATTATGAAGACTGCTGGCGAACGCGGCCGCAAAATTCCGAACGACGAGGAAGACCATCTGAATTTGGCAATTTGTACGTGTAAAAGACCATAAAACCGTTGACTGAGAATTAAAATGAGAATAAAATCTTGTATTAATTAATCTATTAATAAACTGCATTTTATTAGTTCAGGCGAAGCACAACAATCATAATTTATTTCTGCATAACAAATGTGCTGCAGCTATTAAAAGTAATGCACTTGAAATGTCTAAAATTCGAGTTATTTAAAGTGTTTATTCATTAATAAATTAGCTTTTTTGTAAATTTTAATAGCAGCGGCTTCCTCGCTCGCTTTAAATAAGGAGGAATGGATGAAGGAGACGGGCTGTGACGAGCAGGATTGGGTCGAAGAACTGAAGTCTCGAGAGGTCCAAAAACATTCGTCTAAGCGAATGAAAATTTCACCGCGAAAATTTAAGTTTGTTGGATCTCCCAAAAAAGCGCTGGAGAAAAAGCTCCGCACGTCGCGCTCAAATGCGGCAAAAGTCCAGAATGTTGATGCTGAGGAGAAGTGGCTGGACTACTTTAAGGAGTCAGACAATAAGCGCCTGGAGTTTGAAAAATCAAAAGCCGCAGAAGAAATGGCCGCAAAAATGAAATTGGCAGAAGACGCTAAGGAAGTGCGCTTAAAGGAACTGGAAGTGGAAAAATTACGTCTTCAAGTCGAACTGAAAAAAATTGAGAACGAAAAAATTCAGGAAAAATATTATGGCTTGTAGACTTTTTTAATCTCGCAAATACTCTTCAATGAATGGCGGTTCTAAATTAAAATACTGGCTAGCCTGATTTGGATACAAACAGTTTCTGCAGTTTGTCAGTAGCACAGCGATTCTGAATATCTTATTAACAGGTTTCTCAAATATCTTCATCTGCTTTTTAAAATCAACAAATGCGAATTCTTTGACGACTTCCTTGAAGCCCCACTCAACAGATTCTCTTACTGTCGACATGGCCTCGTTGAGAGCTTCTTTCAGGGGATTACTGGCTGCCTCTACTTGGGAAAATGGCTTAATTAACAGATCTTTGCGGCCGTAACCAGAATCTCCGTAGACGTAATATTTCTGTTGAAAGTTAGCCTGCTTGTCTCTGAACTGCTGTAGGAAATTACTTTCTGCAAAGAGCCTGCTGTCGTGCATCGATCCTTCTTTTCCACCATAAAGGTTACCAATCATTCCTACAAAAGGCACAAGATATCACAACATCAGTGAATAAATTCCGAACATAGCAGAATAGCTCAGAGATTTACTACGCAATGCACACGTGCGTAGCAAAATATGGCGCAAATGCTTATTTTAGCTTACCGTTTGGAAAGAGAACAGACTGCCACTTGGTGCAGTGAAATCTTTTGTGACCGCTGTACATAATCCGCTGATATCTTTTAGGCCGACATATTTCTCGTGCAGTTCCATCTATAAATCCAATCACACCAGGATAAACACCACCCTTCGCTGTGATGACGCGCGAAAATTCGTCGAAGTCTCCTTCCGTTAACCAGCGCTGCTCAAGGTCACGAAGTAAATGCGACCAGTGTGCGTCTATTGTTTCCAGAGTGTGATAAAAAATCCTCATCAAAGAACCATGAGATCGGCCAAAGATGGCTCGCAGATCACACCATCGATTTGGGTACGACATTCGTCGTAATACGATACAGAGCGCTTCCGTTCCCGTACACCTATCCCGTTCTGAAGTTCGAACTGATTCCGGAATACGCAGGGCAACTCGCAGTCTATCAATATCATCTTTTCTAACGCGAAACATTCTCCAGCAGTCAACATCAGAAAAGCGATCAAGATCAAATGGCTGCTCAGCCACACTTCCTGAGTTTCACGATATCGAGCCGCATCCTGTCTTTTCTTCAGCAGTCTCAAGGCCGTAAATCGTTTTTTATCTATTCTACCAGTTCTCAACAGATTCGCAATTATAAACCACCGCATTTTAGCTATCGGAAATTCTGTAAAATAAAACGGTAATGTTGAAAACTGATTTCGTTTTTTCTAAACATAAAAATGGATTAATCAGTGCATATACTGCATAGTCGTTCACCGTACATCGTGTTATCCCGGCTGCGATCACACAGGATGTGAGCCGGTGCGCTTCCGGTGCGGTCGGCATCGACCGTATATCGCTACCGTCTACCGGGCCTGTGGGGCGATAATAATCTGACTTGTAAGAGAAAAAAATACAATAAAGCAGTCAAAACATTTAGTGGCCACAACGAAAACATAAGAAACATTAACAAACAAAAAATTTAGTTGCCGCAATGAAAACATAAGAAAACACAGGAAAACAAGAAATTTAGTTGCCGCAATGAAAACATAAGAAAACACAGGAAAACAAGAAATTTAGTTGCCGCAATGAAAACATAAGAAAACACAGGAAAACAAGAAATTTAGTTGCCGCAATGAAAACATAAGAAAACACAGGAAAACAAGAAATTTAGTTGCCACAACGAAAACTCCAGAGACACCACCTAAGCAACAAAACATGTAGTGGTCACAACGAAATCTCAAGAAACAGCATAAGAAACTAGACATTTAATTGCCACAACGGAAACCTAAGAAACAACACAATAATCAAAATATTTCGTTGCCACAACGAAAACCTAAGAAACAACAACATCAAAAAGCACAAATTTTAGTTGCCACAACCTAAGAAAACTTCAAGAAAACAGAAAATCCGAGGTCACGCGGCAACATGCAGCATCACTCTCAGGAGCACACTTGGGCCGGAAGGCCGTCTGGAACACCAAGCGGAACAAGCGGTCCAGACACAGCCCTGTCGGGTATCCAGACACATGGCGCACATTAGCCCTGGCCACCGCGATTCCCGGCATCCAAACCAACACCTTTGGCTATGCTTGCAACTCTCGAAAACTTGGTGGATCAGCACAGTCGTCACGCCACAGCCGAACCAGTTCCGCCAATGCGTCGCAGTGAAAGTTGTGAAACCATAGATAGTACGCCCGCAGCTGATGAGACCAAAGAATAGCACGATTCGGATGGTAAGGACGGTACGCTTGCACATGGTGTTAGGTTCACTTATTCCGCTAGAGCAGCAACAGCTTCATTGGAAATCGGTCTGAATAGTACTCGACTTTGGTATAGGTACTTTGGTATAGCACGATTCGGATGGTAAGGACGGTACGCTTGCACATGGTGTTAGGTTCACTTATTCCGCTAGAGCAGCAACAGCTTCATTGGAAATCGGTCTGAATAGTACTCGACTTTGGTATAGGTATAAACTTTGGTATAGGTTAACCTATAATGGCTGATAATTTTGCAGAAATTCCTGTTTCCACGAGTGCTAAATATTGCTGAAGTTTCTGCCACGATCTTATTTTCCTTTCGGCATTTTCTCCGAAAAGATGTGAACGAAAATATGTCACACGTGACACCTGGCCTATCCCGGACAGCACAGCATCCGAGCAGTACGGATACGCGGATACACAGTGGTCGTCTCCGGCACGACTTTGCATAAATCCGCCGCTTCATAATCAGTTATGAAAGATAATGTCTGAAACAGATGCATCGCTCAAATGTGGCAGATGAATGATTTCGCCAAATGCTGCAGCCGAAAGCAAAACGCTTGCTGCTTATGCTGTTTTTCGCTTCTCCTGAAACTGCCTTGCTTTGTGATTTTATAATTCAAAGTATGTTGATGCTTATTGCATCAACATTTCATGAATCCGCGATGACCTGCAAAGTAAATGTTGTTTCCTTAGGCGATTTTGTAAAAAAGATATTAGCTTTATATTAACTTGCCGGTTATGTAGTTGAAGTGCCTGACAAATTTTCCGATAAATATTACACGCAACTCTTGCCACAATAGCAATATACAAGAAACAGCCTCGGCTTCGCCTCCGCGTTTCTTGTGGTCCCCAGTCTACGGCCGGTTTATTCAAATGATTTCGATCAGCTGTTTAGTTAACATCTTATTCCTTCAGCAAAATAAAACGGTCCGAAAGAAGCGCTAAAACTTAGATAGGATAATAAGTGAATTTACGGCATTTTTGCACTCAGATGCATGCTTTGACTCAGAAGGGAATCTTTGTAAAATTTTTCATCCCGACTCTGAGTCTACGAGGTAGAAAATTTCAACGTAAAGAACGCTTGCATTAGATGCTGGTGGTAGTTCGGTCATTCCATCACCTAGGGGGCTGTGTGCTCTGGACAGTAGCGGTACTTCGGTCACTCGTTCGCCAAGCGGGCTGTGTGCTCTGCACTGTGCTCAGACAATGGAAACGGTTTTTGCTGATTCTATACGGGACAGCTGCGTTCGTGTATCCCTTTTTTTGTAATAATAAAGATCTCAAATGTCCTTAGTTTTGCTCGGACTGCAATGAAAGGTCAGGCACTCAGGCCGTGTGAAGTTGTGAACGATTGCGATGGTCAGTTTCTTTTACAGCTGCCTTCAAGTGGCTTTTAACGAGCGTTCTTATTCTTAAGTCATGGTTTTGAGCGCTTTAAATTGTTAACGATTTATTGAAACGAAGCCATCCCCTAGCAGCATCGTTTGTGTTACTGCTAATATTATTGGTTTTTCCAGTTTTGTAGGAGTAAAAGTTTAAATGTTTTTAATTTGCTGGTCTAAAAATGTACCAGTTTAATTCTAATGATTTTTTCTCTATGCAACCGGACTTGGAAATTATTTTCAAGGTCACCTTGAGCTTTCAGCTTTACCGGCACGAGCACGGGAGCCAAAGTGAATAATTTTTAAAACAAAATGCAAGTGACACAGTTTCCAGACATGCGAAATCGAATGGCGTTATCAGTTTTTCGATTAATTTTTTGGTTTGTTCTGACCAGATCGTACGGGGTTTTCCGTTGTAATATAGATCTTTATCTTGATAAGGTCCTTCGAAAATCATTTCAGTTCAAGGGCTTTCGGCTGGTCCGTACGCGCTGATATTAGCCCGGAATGGCTCTTGCCCAATAATTGCACATCAAGGAGCAGAAGCTTACTTACCTTTAAAGCAATTTTTTGTCGCGTTAAAGTTTGTATCACTCACAGGCTCACAGCAATCAATCGATGAAAGCGTGGTCGAAACTAGAATAAATTTTTATGAGGTCGCGCTCGGTTGCTGCCATCCCTAGAGTAGGAAGCCGAAAGGGCTGGACAGCGATTATAACAATTACAGTGACTGTTCAAGCCGTGAAAGCCAGCGAATTTTGTCTACCGGCCGTAAATCACAATATCAGCTGTTGTCCCGTCTCGTGCTGTCTCTTGTGTCCCTGTCCAGCTAGATAATGAAAAGCTAATTACATGAAAAGCCTTGCCTGTATTGAGCAATACCATAGTGAAAGGTTATATAGGCTTACAGTGAGATTAGTCTTCGAAGGAAACTGAACAACTTGATTCCTTATGTAAACAAGCTGGCGCGCGTAAATGGGGTTTTGTTTACCTTGCGGGATAACAGTCACATTCGCATGGAACAAAGATGCGTCTTGCACACCTATGCGGAATTCGCAAGCGTTTGTCCTTGCTCTATCTCCCTACTGGAAGTTATTGCACTAGAAGATACAAATCACACCAGCCTGTCTGTTGTCAGACGCAAAAGAAAGTGTTCTCCTGTGCAGAAGGAACGGCAAGATTTTCACTCAGCGCTCAACCCATTTAGCGCGGTCTTTGTTAATGAGATTTTTGTCCTTTAACATGAACAAGTTTCAGATACAGCGGCTGACAGGAGTAGGTGGACTATTATAGTAGACTGTGGCAATAT